TCGCGCACATTGACACCTTGTGAATGTTGCACCTATGCTGCTGGTTGTTGCCACTTTCGTCATTGCTAGATCCTAGGCTTTCAGTGCATTTCACTTTCTGATATGCTACAGTAGATTAGGAGTAATGTCTTTTACCGTTAGGCTTAGGAAGGTCTGTTCTAGAAGTCTCTATCTGAGTCTACTGAGGCCTAGAGTCTGTTTGTAAGTCTGTCGGCTCTAGAAGGTAGTAGGTCCCTGTAGGCCAGTCCAGTCAGCAAGTACCAGGAGTAGGGGCTGCACGTGGGGAAGGTTCTGGACCACGCTGTGGGTTCCACACGTTTTGGCCAGAAGGCCAAACGTCTGGAAGCTTCCCTGGGTCACACGTTTTGGGCCAGGCCCACACGTTTTGAGGCAGGGCTCGGGTACCTCTGAAGAAGTATAAATAAAGAGGCAGCGTCCAGCCATTCATTCATTGGCCTGTGAGCCATGCGGAAGAGCTGCCGTGGTATCTTGTGCGTGGAGGTCTGCAGGTGCACGGAGAGGAAGTGGCCTGTGAAGAAGACAGCGGCTGTAGCGAACCAGCGAGGGAGACACCGGTGGCCATAGCTAGGAGGAGGAAGACGACGGCAGCCATAGCCGCCCAGCTGTTGGTGTAGACAGAGTGTACAGAGTGTGAGTGGCTGTGCAGCGTGGATATTCAGGGTGATCCTCGTACGTGCGTTCATGCGAGAGTGTGGGAGAGTGAGGCTGGTGGTAGTGACCGTGTTCGGCAGCCATAGCCGCAAGTTGTACCGTTGATTCAGACTGAGTTTAATACAAGTTTATTGTTGTTTCTGAGTTGGAAGAGTTCGATTTTGCCATCGGTTCTCAAGTGTGCATGTTGTGAGCAAGTCCAGAGTCGAGTTTGATTGCAGGAACCACACCGGTTGTGCTGTGACGGCTGTCCACCCCACCCCTCCAAGGTTATAGTCTCCAACTCACTCACACGACGCACAAGACTGCGCGGGGGCAGCAATTCTTGCACACTTTGCTCCCATGAGCACATGACCCCCACTGGTACATGTCACCACACATCGGACAGAGTCGCTCTATGTAGGGAGGCCAACATAGGAAAGGAAGAAAGAGAGAACGAAAGGAAGGGGATTGACTGTGATAACATGGAGTAGATGGACAACTATGCGTAAGGGGCGTACGCAGGCTTTGATTTTGTTTGCCGAATCTGGCCACAATTTGATGTCAGATGCATCCACGGAAGTCCTAGAACAAGTATTCCCTAAGGCTGTCACGTGCTCATGCATGGGAGATTGGTCGTGTTCACTTACATTGAGAAGTTTGACTGGTTCGGCGCCCATGTTCTTTCCTGAACAGGAAAGAAGTTTGACCGGTTGGGATCCACGGTCTTTCCTGAACAGGGAAGAAGTTTGACCGGTTGGCATCCATTTGCTTTCCTGAACAGGGAAATGGTTTGACCGGTTGGGATCCGTGTGCTTTCCTGAACAGGCAACAGGTTTGACCGGTTGGGACTCTATTTTAACCTTCCTTTTTTTTTTTTCAGGGGCGACTAGGGCGCAGTCACGATTTCAGTTTAAACTTTAAAATCCACTTTGTGCACCCCTCGAATACAACACATCCCCACCCGACCCCAAAGCTAGGTTGTATACATTCACGATTTTCCCCGTGTTGGCGCAACATCCACAAAATTGTGACTGAAACGTATTTTTGAACTGAATCCGTGACTTCGCCCTAGTTTTCCCTTTTTTTTTTTCTTTTTTTTAACACCAGTGGTGCACTTCCACCTGCCAAGGCCATATAGCTAGACGGAACAGGAACTGGGGGTGTGCTCCCACGGCTTTTTATCCGACGTTTTCCGCCTGAGGCTGACTGCCCAAGGCAAGTGCGTATCACAAGAACAAACAGAGTGACTCTTAACTCGAAGCGCTAACAGAAAAAAAGGACCATGCCTCTGGAAGGACGCCTCGATGATAATACCTGAAGCGCATGGTCCTTTTTTTCTTGTTAAGTCGCCCTGTTCTTCTCTTCCCTCCCCCCCCCCCCCCCCCCTTTTCTTCTTCTTCCTCTTCTTCCTCTTCTTCCTCTTCTTCCCCCACTCTTGGGAGGGATTGAACTATGGAAGTGTATCGAAGGGGGGGTCCCAAAGACTCCAAACAGAGTGTAGCAACCGAGGCTGAGTTCACCCTCAAAATTCTTTGAGTTGAGATTTGAGGCCTATTGGCTCCTGGTATTAAAAGACATTTTGGCGTTGACTCAGCCTGAGTTAGGCTTTGAATTCTGAAGCCTATCGGGTTTTACCATTGTCGTGAACTCTTTTTGTTTTTGTTTTTGTTTTTTCTGTTTGGGGCTCCTGGTAATGGTTCTTATTATGAACGTACTTGCCTCCGGTCCGCCGCTGGCCGAGGCAAGTACCAAGGCCGCTGCCCGAGGCAAGTACGTATGAAGATGTTACAAGAATACAACAACAACAAAAAAAAAAAAAAAAAAGAAAAAAAGAGAGGTTTGCCAGCAGGAGTCTAACAAAGAAAAGCCTCAAACCCTAACTCAGGCTGGGTCACCTCCAAAAAATTATTTCTTGAATCACCTTTTCTTCTTCTGTTTTCTTCTTATCTTATTGGTATAATAGAAGATGCCATAAAATAATACATGCTACCGGCTGACCTCTGGCCGGTATCGCCCACCTGCCGGTGAGTGCAGCTCCCGCATGTTCCCTTGTTGGAGGCTTGACCACGGATGTGACTGCTACGGGGTTCCCCGTAATACTATAATGGCAATAAAAACGGCCTGAAAGGCCGTCCTGTCCAGATTCGACAGGTAAATTGAATTGGTTGGGCTTAAGGAGTTAGCCTTTATATAATAATAAAAAATAACAGTTTCTGTTTCCTCTCATTTTCTTATTTATTTTTTATGTCGATACTTGAGAGTTTGTTTGGTTGTCTCGGATCTTGGAAGGGTCAGGGTAAGCCTTTTCTTTTTTTCTTTCTTTTTTTCTTTCTTTTTTTCTTTCTTTTTTTCTTTTTGCTTTTTTTTTAAAGATCCCAGTTTGGACATCCGGGCGGTAGATCTAGTGGCACGACTTACTCAACCTCTATAAAATTTTGTGAATCTAAATGTGTACAGGATTACCGCGTTTTCCGCTGAAAGGAACGGGGATCCGTTTTTTTGTTTTTTTTCCTTCTCCCCTCCGCCCCCCTCCTTTTGTTTTGTTTCAAGCCTTCAAGAAAAGGCATGTGTTTTTATGGGAGTCTCTCTCTCTCTCTTGGTGATGCAGGTATCGCGAGCCGTGGACCACGTACAGTCGGGAACAAATGCTCTGCAGAAGGCCAAAGCATCTCAGAAAAGCACGCGCAAGGTAAAAAAAAAAATACTGAAAATGGTTCTTATCCGCTTATGCTAAGACTGTGAAGAGCTCCAAGTGGCATCCTGTAAGAAATGTTTTTTTGACTTTTTTTGGGTTTCTGTTGGCTGTACCCTGCAATGCTTGGTTAGCCTTGGTTATGGTTATGCGTGGTTAGCCTTGGTTATGGTTATGCTTGGTTAGCTTTGGTTATGGTTATGCTTGCTCGATGACCCTTGGTCACCCACCCTTTGTGAGCCTTGGTCGCCCTTCGGTACCTTGGTTATGGGTTGGTTTCCTTGGTTATGCTTGGTTCACCTTGGTTATGCCCTTTTTTTTCGCCGTTGATTATCCTTGGTTGGCTTCTTTCGCTTTGGTTACCATAGGTTACCTATTCTAGGCTGCCTTGGTTGTGCATGGGTAGCCTTGTGCTCTTGTTTGCCATTCATTATCCTTGGTCGCCTTGGTTACCCTTGGTTACTGCCGGTTATCCTTGGTTGGCATTGGTTACCCTTGTATGTTTGCAACAGCAAACCAAAGTTAGTTATTCATCCACATGACCTTCAACATCAAGACAAGTCCAAAGCAGGATACTGACAAACGGGGCACTGACTGACCATAGAGGAGGAGGAAGAAGAAGAAGAAGAAAGACACAAGATAATAGTAGTAACAAGTAGCCCCAACAATGGACTGGAGTCATCCACCCCTGGTTATCCTTGCCCATGTCTACCATTGGTTACCCCTGGTTATCCTTTACCCATGGCTACCATTTGTTACCCCTGGTTATCCTTTACCCATGGCTACCATCGGTTACCCCTGGTTATCATTTACCCATGGCTACCATCGGTTACGGTCGATTACCGTTTGTTACCATCTGTAACAACACAGTTGAGCATTGATAGAACTGGCGAATAGAACGCCCGGTCATTATCACTGCATCTGGACAGAAAATTGCCCCAAATACGGCTATAACGACCAGGCGTTTTGCCCCAAATACGGCTATAACGACCAGGCGTTATATTCAGGTGAAGACGGTAGTTTGTTGCTAGTCAGTGGTAACCAGTCTACCATGATGCACATGTAAAAAATCAGTCAAGTGTTGACGAAACTGGTTAGCGCTGGGAGAACCGGTTTGTTGGGAAACCATTCGTTTGTCGGTTACTGCCGGGTGTTCTGAGAGGACTGATTTGTAATTTGTGGCTGTGTTGCTGTTTAATTCCCCCTTGCTGAACTGTCTTCTTCTACTATGCTCGGTAGGTAAGGTAGGACACTCCGGTCTCGCATGAAGGGCCCGCGCGAAAGCATGGAGAAAACTGGTTAGGGTTGGGAGAATCTCCTTATGCAGTGAAACCTGGGTCTTGCGGGATGGAGCCACGCGAAAGGATTGACAAAACTGGTTACCGTTGGGAGAATGGGTTTGTGGGGAAATCATTGGTCTGTTGGTTGGTTATGGCGGTTCTGAGAGGACTGAATTGTAATGAGTGGCTGTGTTGTTCTTTGGTTTCCCCTTGCTGAACTGTGTCTCCTTCCATATCTATGTAGCCGGTTTATAATTGGAAGCCCGGATCTCGTATAATGGCCCCGTGGTTTTGGGGACATTTGCGGCACATTTCTTTTTTTCTCTTCTCCTCCCCTGCGCTTTCTCCCCCTCCCCCAGAAAGGTCTCTCACTTGATTGTGCTCTCTCTCTCTCTCTCTCTCTCTCTCTCTCTCTCTCTCTCTCTCTCTCTCTCTCTCTCTCTCTCTCTCTCTCTC